CTTAAACGAAATTGGGTGAATACATCTCATACTACTGATTTACTGGTAGTCACGACAACAATACTTAATTCGAAAAATGAAGGTACTTTAGTTAGGTTTATTGCAAACAAATAGGGGTATCGTGATGCATAAAGCATCACGATTACTTTATACTCAGTTAAGGCAATTATCCATAGCCTGGAATTTTTTGGTAAGAGACTCTTACGACTTTGAAAAGTTAGTTGATGATCAAACGATAGAAAGAGGAGCTTTTCTTGTATGTTCCGACGTAGTGTCGATGATAATTAATATTTCATAAACGAGGCAATAAAAGCTGTACAGTTAAGACTAGATCATCATTCTGAGATCGTAATAGGTAAGAAGTTATACAAAGATTCAATCATTAGGTTACTCAATTTTGCAATGAATACTAGGTATTTTACTTTAATTATGAAGTTGAATGAGCAAATACGGTATTTGGATATGGGCTCTTGTTTAGTCTCTATTTTAGCTTATAACCACATTGCCCAATTATAAATGCGTGTGTTTCAATAGGTACTCCTAGTTCCCATGTTAGTAGTTCCTTATATGGTTGGTTACTTTGCTGTTTGGCAACACGGCAAAGATAGTTTGGGTGAATTCCTTAAGCTAATACATAGAATAGATGTTTACAATAAGTTTAATATTGACTCAGAAAAGGATAATAAATTGCCTTTGCTGGAAGTAGTAATAAGCAAAAAGTTAATAAGTTGTTTATAGGAAACCTACAGACAAGGTTTTCCTTATTAATTTCTTATCCAAGAATACATATAGGGTTAAAGTAAGAGTTATGAAATCAATAATACTAAGACGTCTGCGTCGAGCAGACGTAAACTACGGGTACCAGGAGTTCGGCATATTTAGGCATATATTTTTGGTTCATAAGTAGGGTTTCGAGACTATCATTAAATCCATTATATGAGATAGATTCACCCTTTATCGTTTAAGGAGAGGAAGGACTAGTAGTTTAATTTTCCCACAATGATATGAGTAAAAACTGACGGTTCCATAGAATTTCACATAGCCTTGCCTTCCTAAAAGGGTCTTTTTTCTTTCAGGATGGACCGCAGTTTCAACCTCGCCTAGGTCTTATCAACACTCCCAGCGGGAGTCGAACTATGACATTGGAATCCCATAAAAATGAGGCGTATATTATTTCAAAAAATCACCCTTTAAAACAAATAGAAAATAACATTTTAACTCTCTGTAACAGCAGACAAGTCCACTCGATTGCTGATTTTGCATTTTTGTCAGCTTGCGAAAGAGTTAGGTGTGCTATTAAGGCAGCGGAACATGAGAACAAAGTATGGAGAGAAATTAACACTTTCTTCAGTCATGCCTTCTTTAAGAGAAGTTTGGGACCCTCTTTCTAGAGCAGGCTGCTGGAAGGTGTTGTGCCCATGTGGTAATGTCTATGTGAGTACACAAAATCGCCTGAAAAGGTGTATGGCCTACTCACATGAATGTGGTAAAATTTAACTACCAGTCCGTGGTAACCTTAGATGAAATAGCTTGAATATATCTACCACGTATAGTCACTAAGTCTCAATATTATCGATAATAAATTCAGAATTTGCTCGCCCAAAACACGTATCCAACTAAGAGGACAATGAATTAGAAACCCTACTTTAATACGAATGAATTAGAAGACAAAGCTAGAAATTTTCGTATTTAAGCAGAGTTTCGAGACTACCAGTAAATCCGTTATATGAGATGTATTCACTCAATTTGCATTAAGGTGATGAAGAACTGGTAGTTGATTTTCCCACAATGTTATGAGGAGAGCTGACGATTCCATTTAATTTCACATAGCCTTACTTTCCCAAAAGTCCTTCTCATATAGGTCTTATCAACTCCTCCAGCGGGAGTCGAATCATGACGGTACAGCATGTTAGCTTGACGCGTTAGCAAATCAGCCACATTGCCATCAGTCCTTCACCATCTTAAGCGAAATAGGTTTAATCCATCTCATATAACCGATTGACGGATAGTCACGAAACTCTGCTTGCATACGAAAAATAACTAATTTAGTCGATTGTGATAGCAAAAATACATTTGCACTATCGACAATCCCACCAAAGAATGTGATATGGGAAAAGGCCTGGCCTTTCTTCATATTCCCATCTGCCTTGTGACCCAAGGGCTTTTGTGGCTACCTGGTTGAGTGGCTAACGTGTCAGGCTCACATGCTACACTGTCATGGTTCGATTCCCGCTGGGGATGTTGTTAAGCTTGAGGCGAGGTCGAAACTGCAGTCCACTTCTGTCTGGATGAGAACAACTTTTGGGAAAGTAAGGCTATATGAAATTCACTCTCATTCCCACTCATAACATTGTGAATAAATTCTACTACCAGTCCTTCATCACCTTAAACGAAATAAAGTGAATAGATCGCATAGAAAGATAGAAAGTCTGACGTCGGAATATCGTGATTCAACTGAAGAAGATTCCAAGAAGTGAAATCCAATAGTTGAATATTTTTCTCAATGATCTAATTAGGTCTCACGTTTCCCTCAAATTTCATAAAGCCTTGTTTCCCAAAAGGTAATAGGAAGGTGATGAAGATCTGGTAGTTTATTTTTCCTACAATGATATAAGTAGAGCTGACGTTTCCATTGAATTTCCCATTGCCTTGCTTTCCCAAAAGTCGTTCTCATACAGGCTGAACTGCAGTTTCGCAACTCTACCTACATCCTAAAGGGTACTTTCATCCCATTAGGAACGGACTGCAGTTTCTACCTCACCTTTGTCCCACCAGGATCGAACACCACACCCCACTGCCACGAGTGCCCCTGCATCACAGGACAAGTGTGAATTTCGAGGAAGCATCGTCCAGAAGGCAAACTTGTGCTTTTCTACACGGTCGGTTTCGAAAGATACCCTGGTTCGATTCCCGCTAGGGGTGAGGATGACATCTCGGCGAGGTCGGAACTACACTCCAGTCCAGTCCAGTCTGGGTGAGCATACCTCACGGGAGGTAATGATAAATGAAATCCGATGGAAACATGGTGACTAATTTCAACTACCACTCCCGCATCACTTTAAACGAAATCGGTTGTACACAGGTCATATAACAGATCTACCGGTAGTCTCGAAAAAGGAATTATGAAACGAAAAATGCGCCCAACAGGTTTCTGCTCTCTTACCTTCGGTTGAATGGGCCATACACGTGAGACAAGGCCCTAGCGACTAGAATTAAATCCAGCAGATGTGCTACAGACGAGCTCAGTCGACAGGTTTCAGGCGAATGGCTTGACCGGCCAGTTGGGCTGAAGCCTGTTGGTCAGCCTCACCTGCAGAGACAGCCGATTCCTTCTTGCTCTAATGGCACGAGGGGTATTTGCAAAAGTGGGCAACGACTGTGTAATGGCCTGGCCATAGATTGACGCATGTCAAGTTGGGCAAGACTGTGATGACAAGCCATTTGGACGGACGCCCGTTTCGACGATACAGCAAAGAGGGCCGGGCCCAAGGGCTGCGAAAGTGGGGCTGCCAAGTGCCGGAGTTGGACGGGCTGAGGTGGGCCGAATGGGAGAACGCTCAGAGTGGCCAGGTTGTCATGAGTCGTGAGGTGAGGATAAGCGTTTTTCCAGCCCATAATTGCCTTTCTCCCCTCAGCCCAACCTGAAACTGCACCTCACACACGACCCTGAAAGGGAGAGAGTGATACTTTGAGGCTACTACAAACACATACAAACACACACACACACACATGATCGCTGTACCCTGTTCATACTCAATCTGCTGTCCAGCTCACTGTATCCATCTGCCGGGCGCCATCATTTTCCAGTTTCGCCTCAATCATAGTTTTCCCACTCTCATCCTACCGGGGACATCAGCACTCACCATTGTTGCCTGTCCTGGTCCTCATCTCCATCCAAATGCTCATCTGTCTCCTCCCATGGCGCTGTCGTAGATGCGGTCGCCCTCCTCTTCTACAACCTCCTCCCTCCCGTTCATAGGGCACTTGAGTTCAGGAGCGGGATCGTCCAATAAAGGGGCCAGCCATGAGCATGTGCATGTACACGTGTGTGTGTTTGCGTGTGCATTTGTGTGATGGAGATGGACAGTTGGCAGCATCAGCGTCACTCGTTAGTGGGATTGGGATTCGGGCCTGGAGAGAGAAGAACTGATGTCATGCATTGTGACGCTTGTCATCGGGACCATCAGAAACCGCCACATTCTACAATCAAAGATAGCAATTCTCCGCTGCGAGATTCAGTTTGTACGCACACTTAAAAAGATGTGTGCACACAAACTCCTCTCACCCTCTTAATGCAACCTTTTACGATTGAAGGGGTGAGCAAATCCTCACATGACTTCTTGTCTGTCTTCGGAAGTAAAGCAGTTGGTCCGCTGTTATGCAATTTCTGGCTCCAGGTCGTGATGATGCAAGCTGAAAGACTTTTCATTTTGTTTGAATAGGCGAATGGAAAGGATCCACAAGTTGGTCGCCCCAGAAACTGAAGGCGGATCGCTTTGGTACTGTGATTGCGGGTTTGTACGAATAGCGCCTCGGCGCACTGCCCTGCGATCCCGATGAATTCTTGCTCAACTTTCGTTCGTCATGCAGAAAAACTGATTTTCTAAGTGTAGCATAGCCTCCTACAACAACAATATAATAATAATAATATGAGATGTATTCACCCTATTTCGTCTAAGGTGATGAAGGACTGGTAGTAGAATTTTCCCACATTGATATGAGTCGTAGGGTGG